ATAAAATCCACCATGGCTTAAACTCAAACCCTAAAGCCAACCATGGTTTGAGAAGGAGCTTTGAAGGAGGCAACTCATAGCTGCTAACAAAGATCCTTCTAGTCGCTTGTGACTAATCAAAGCACAAATCCCAATGACCCCAAGATGACAGAACCATTTGATTTTTACCAGGTCATCTTGAAAATAATAATAACAAATCTCACATGAAAATATAATTGACTAATAAGTCTTAAGCAATCTAAAATTTTCAACCCCCTAGAATTGAAAAAAGACATTAAAACTTAAATAAAACTGTAATGAACAAACATCATCGAATGCAACTTTAACCCTGCTACCCGGGTCTACGAAGATCTCTTGGATGACACAACTCATGGTTGTTAACAAGAATCTTCTGGTCGGAGTAGACTCAACTGCTTCTTTAAGCTAAGTAGATCAGGGAACCTGACAACCCCGGGACGATGGAAAGCCATGAACCTCTTGACTGGGTTTTCCTAAATAAAAAATATAATAATAAACTCATTAATAATCAACTTAAATAAATATATTTATCTACCTTACATTGAATTATGATAAAACTTCCTAACTTTATTTTCAGGGCTATTAAGATAAACTGTTGTCTTAGATTTACTCTAACATTGAATTGTGATAAAACATCCTAAATTTATTTTACAGGGCCACTAAGATGAATTGTTGTCTTAAATTTACTTTACATGTTATTAAGGTGTGCTAGCTTTATTTTGCAGGGCTATTATGATAAATTGTTGTCTTAGATTTACTCTTACATTAAATTGTGATAAAACATCCTAAATTTATTTTACAGGGCCACTAAGATGAATTGTTGTCTTAAATTTACTTTACATGTTATTAAGGTGTGCTAACTTTATTTTGCAGGGCTGCTATAAAATAAATAAGTTGTTGTAGTGACTTAGGATCTATCTTTCGAGTCTTCTTTTCCTTTATAGAGTTAAGAGGTGTTATTGTTAATTGACTATAAACATCTAAACTATCCAAAAGAAGATGAAAAGTGAAGCTAAAGAAGAACCTCAACTAAACCATCAACGATAGTTTGGATTTAGGATTGTCACCCATACTATCAGTTTATATATGTCTGTTTGATAGGTCTGCCCATCAGTAAGCTCACTTGAGGACTAAACTTTCTACCCCAGTCTAAACAACTTCAACTAAAATTTTCAAAATAAAACTCATAACCAAAACTAAACCACATAAATCATTGCATTCACAATCATAGAAAGAGCAAGCATTTAATACAACCTAGATTGAAATTAAATAAAATTGAGTGGAAACTTCTTTTCGATTTATGAATATGAACGAAATATGAATTATAGGCCAATACATAATATATCACTTTTACTCCTTATCTTCAGACCCCTCACTCACTACACGTAAAGGAGTGATTTGACCTGTGAGAACCAATGTCTTATAAAGTGAGTTCTGCCAATGTATATTGATTGGCCTTTTGAACACATCTTTAAACATTCATCATCAATGACTTGCATAACCTATTATACAACCTTCTTTGATGCATCTAGCATTAGGAGTTAACATAATATAACATTCGAGTATGGTGAGACATTAAAACATTTAAATACCAAAGATATATTCGCATTATTCTTAGGACATTATTCAAACCATGCATACTTAGGCAACTTGATTTATAATCAAGTTGTAAGGCCTATTACTCCTAATAAATAACAATCTACCCTATCTTGCATCATCGAGACTAGCCATGCCTGGTTTTGAATATGATTAGGTGATTTAGAAGGTAGTCGTTTTCTAGGCAGGGTTGTAAGTCCATTGCATTTTATGTTTCTCTTTTTTTTAAGTAAGGTTCCAAAGTTTCACTTCTCACAGTGAACTTCGCCCTAGGACTTCGAGGTTTTTCGTCTAGTTACAACATAAATTCTCACCTTTATGCTTCTACATGATTGTATGTCATACAGTAAAAGTCCTAAAATTTTAACAAAATATTAAGATGAAACATTAATTTTTTCTTCAAAAACATTAAATGTCAAATAATAGAACCGTTTGAGACATTATTAAGGTTTCCTCGGTATCTCCAATTGCCTCTACCCCTTCTTCCTTCGGCCTCCGTTAATCACTATTCAAAAAAAAAAATTAAGCTTTTTTCATTTAGAAATCTAATGTTCAAACGTGGAAATCTAAACTTAGAAATTTCTTGGGAACAAAATCATAGTCTTAATCGAGAGTTTTCTTAAGTAACTTTGGTCACTTAATATGTAATTAACTATAGGGTCTTCCTTATAAGAAGACGAATACGACAAAACTAATCTAAACCTTATCTAGTCTTCAGATTAGAGAGTGGAAATAATCTATGGGTTTAAACAGCAGAACGACACAAATATCCAATATTTCTTAGTTTGAGTAATCGAACCTATCATAAAGTTGTATTTTCACCTTTCGAGGTGGTTTACCACTTTAGATGTGGCATTTGATTATTTAAACAATTAAATCTTCAATTATGCATAGCATTCAAAGGCTCCGTGTCAAAGCAAAATAAAACCCGACACCAAAATTCTGCGTCATAGAGCATTGCAGGTCTCACCACCATCTTATAAATTTTTTTTTTCAAACTAAGTGGTATTGTTCTATCACACAATAGGCCCAAAGCAGTCCTCCACATCAACCAACTAACTTGAATTCTACAAATAAAATCCTCATCTAAAGCGTTCACACTTCAATTAGGATATCATCTGCTTCTATAGACCTTCCATCTTTAATTTTCTTTAAAGCCTTCTCAACTTCTTTTTTTACTAATACGACTGTAAAAATGAAATATTTTATTATTATTAACAATATTAAGATCACTAATGTCGATCGTATTTTCAGAAACTTCATTGAAAAATTCATCAAAAAAACTCACTCAACTATTTTGAACATATTTTTCTAAGAAAAACATCGCTTCAACAACTTCTTTTTTACTAATGTGACGGTAAAAATGAAACGTTTTATTATTATTAAAGATATTAATATCATTAAGGCCGATTGTATTTTCAAGGTCTTCATTAAAAAGTTTATCAAAATAACTTACCCATCTATGTTGAATATTTTTTTCTAAGAAAAATATTTTTTGATTTTCATTTTTAGTACACTTTACTTGAGTTCAATCTTTACTTTTCTTTTCTATTTGTTTGACTAGTTTATATTTTTCACCCTTCTTAGTATCTAATATATTATAAAGATCACAAAAAACAAAATTTTTAGCGTCATAGATTGTTTAGCGTCATAGATTGTTCTCTTGGACTTCATACAGTACATCTTTTGCATTTAAACCAATTTTTATAACACAAGTTCTTATATTTTCTCTTTTCTTGCACATTTTTATTCTACCACCAACTATTTTTATTTATAAAAACTTTTTCATTTGATTCTCCAAGTACATCTTTTGTCACTTGTTTGATAATGTTTAACTTTATCCCACATAGAATTTGTTTCTTTATGAACATCCCAAATCTCGAAATCTTAATGTTTAATCATAAAATAATTTTATTTGTCTTTTAAGTTCCCCATCTAATTTTGTGTCAATGGTTCATAGTATTTTTTTTTATAACTCTTCATCTTAAAATCCAGAACTAATAATTGATGTTGGGTATTTAAATTCTCATCATGAACGACCTTATAATCTTTACATTCTCGATAATCTCTTCTTCTCCAAGAAAATTAATGGACTTGGCAGGATATTTGAGGTTTAAGTAAAAAAAAATATATATTTACTTACATAACACCCAATTTCTACTTATTTATCTCTTTTTTTTTTTTGTTTATACCACAAAAATTTTTCATATCACATAAAAAAATATCACTATTTCAATTTATAAAAAGTGCAAAAGCACCCTTTCATGAATAGCCAAGATGGCATATATATAAAAATTAAAATTTAGGTGTTAGATGAACAAATACATAAGAATTGAGTGATATGTATGGTAATAATACTAAAATAGTGCCTTGAGAAAAAGATTAATCTATGTTTTATTTTAATTTATTTTTTTAAATGCCTTCACATGAAAAGAGAAGAAGTCCATGCTGTCACAAAATTTATCATCATTGATGGAGGCATTAAAGCTTTGAACCTTCAATAGGTTTCAATGCAAGCTAATCACATTTTAGGGCTCAAAATGACATCTCTTCTATTTAATAAATTTTTGCTTGGGACATGTGCTCTAAAATTTAAGCCGTGAATGTGAAAAAATTGATGCATGTGATGTCCGATCCTCACCGTGAATCAGGTGATCTACGGTTAGGATGTATTTCAATGGGCCCCACTTAAATTTTTAAAAAAAAAAAAATATTTAAGCCGTGAATGTGAAAAAATTGATGCATGTGGTGTCCGATCCTCACCGTAAATCAAGTGATATACAGTCAGGATGTATTTCAATAGGCCCCACCTAAATTTTAAAAAAAAAAAACTGAATTATAATACATCCTGATCGTAGATCACCGTGATCTACGGTCAGGATCAGACACTGCATGCAGTGATGCACGCGATATCTGTACGCAATAATTTCTCGTGAATGTAAGCCATTCCTATGTTTTATGCAAGAGAATTTTTATTTTGTAAGATAACAATTTAAAGACGAATAAACATTTTCTATAAGAAATTAAATTATCATGCAGCATATCAAATTTATCTCATAATTTAGAAGAAATTAAATTATCATGCAGCATATCAAATTTATCTCATAATTTAGAAAAAATGACATGTGTGCCACATAATTCCTATGTATTTACACATATAACACCTAAAATTTGATATTTATATTCATAACATTTTTAAAAAAAAATCGAGTGTTATGTATGCAAATATGAAAGTTTAGATGTTTTATATGTAAATACATATAAAGCATACTAAACTTTGAGGATACTGTATCAAGCACATCTATTCTTATATTAAAATACGCTTGAAACAATGGCAAAGCTGCACTGCTAAATTTTTCTAACAAAAAAAAAAAATGATTTTTTGCATTAAAATTTACTTCTTGAAACAGAAAAAAAGGACTATCAATCAACAGTGAAATGTAAAGAGCATCGCTGTATAAAATTAGGAAAAATAAAAACAAATCAAAGGAAGTTATCTCCAAGGAAATTCAGGCTCAATCCAGAAGGCTTTCAGCGGAGCAGCTTCTGCTCCAGAACTCATGCCAGTCTTAACTTTATAATCGAAAGGAATCAAGTTCAAGGCACGGCTTCTTGTGCTGTTAAAAGGAGCAAATGAGATGTTGGCATCTTTTTCCACAAAGTTGCTTAATATATCATCCAATCTTCTATCCACCAAATCAGTCCACCAACTCCGCTGGTTCACCTTTAAGCGTTGGCCACTCTGAAGCACCCTATTATCAATGTCGTATCTCATCCACGCCTCGGATTGCCAAACCAGGACCTTGTTTCCATACTTGCATTTACAAGATCCATCTTTTTCACAGGAGCAGTATACAGCACAAGGCCATTCTCCAGTTTGTAATGGATTGTTGCCAGCAATTACCAGAATCTCTGAGAACCATCTTTTCTCTAATGGTCTGCACCAACTGATCTCTATTTCTGAGAGTTTTTCACTTCTGATCACAAAGACGATGCAGTCTTCAGAGTTAGGAGGGGACGAAAAAGTCGCTACTTGCTTGGTTTCAGGTTTCAAGGGTCGTTGATAATGTGGAAGGTCAAATTTTTCTAAGGTGAAGGGATTGTAGAAGAAATAGTGATTTCCATGGTGGCAAAGTAGCCATCCTAGCTTGGAAACTAACACTGAGTTCAGAATAGGCAATTTCAGGGTGCAACTGACATTGGAGTGGAGCTGAAGAAGAATGGCATCATCACTTTTCTTGTTTTGGAAACCATAAAGAATCAGCCATGGCTGATATTTGACAAATTTGGTGATGTTCGAGCGGAAGGATGGGGCGGAATGCCAGCTGCTGCAGACACTGCGGAATCTTATGAGATCTGGCATTGGAAGAAGATCAGAGATGCTACACAGGATATCCAGAGGAACCATTTGCTGCCATCTTCTTTCAATCATCACTTCCTTCCCAGGTGAAGAGGAAACGATCTATGTTTTGGTACTGTGTCAATATGTATGGACTAAACGAATAAATCATTTTTCATGAATTAATCTACATGCTCCTGGTTATGCAACACAACATTATGTTGACCGTTGCTAGATATCATACTGCATCAGGTGAATTAACTTCTAAATAGTGAATGCTCTACTATGGAAAATGATATGCAGCAACTACTAGCTCCCCCATAATGACTTCTCAGAAAACTCTGATCATTGAATCGAAACAAGAAAACAAATTCTTTCTCATATAGAGTACAGGTATGAAGGCATTAACCTCCCTCAAATCCGATAATGGCACGAGTCCTAACATTTATATATATATATATATTGTTTTCTTTAGTTTTACATTATAAACAATTTGTCCAGAATATCTGAAATCAAATGAGACGTCACTTTGGCAAGTTTTATGAAAGAAACTTACGGTTAAGAACATAATTTAAAATTGTGCAATTCAAAGTAAGCCTCTGCCCAAGGAGATCTCGAAAGGCTACACAGTGTCCGTCTCATGATGATAAGTACCACAGCCGAAGTAAGATGTGCCTCAAAGCATGTCTCAGCACTATCTAGAGGCACAAACCTGAAATTGATGCCTTACCTTCTAAAATATAAATTTATAAGTCTGAAATCTTAAACATAAAACCAAATTTTTTTTTTAAACCTAAACATTATTCTTAAGAAAAAAAACTCAAACTGAGAGCCTAGTACCTCAGGGACACACATGCAAGAACCCACAACTTGACCTTGCTATTGTGCTGGCGCCGCCACTGCCCCTTCTTTTTTGTTTTTTCACTGCTAATAACCCTTCATAACCCTTCTCCTTTCTGTTCTGCTAATAACCCTTCTCCTTTCTGTTTGTGTGTGTGAGTGTGTGTGTGTGTGTGTGTGTGTGTGTGTTTTCTGTCCTATATAGTCCTATTTCTTTCTTTATTAACTAATTTTATTTTATTTGATCATTTGTATTTTATATTCCCTATTTTAAGAGATTTTCTTCGTTTTAAATGAACTTCTCAATTTATTTTCAAATAGTTCAAGATTTTAGAAAGAGTTTAATGAGAAGCAATATTTAGCACCGATGTATAGCACTCATGTGCAAATTGCTAGGAGTGAAAAAAACTTAGATTATTTGACTTGCAACTATTCTGATAAAACAGTAAAAGGATGTGTAACAAGAGTGAAAGAATCTTTCTAGTCCTTATAAGATCATTACACTATGTAACAAAGCGCCTGAAGAAGAGAATAAAAAATCATGCTGAAATTTAAAAAGCAACCATAAGCATTTAGCTGAATGTCGATATGATGACAAGGTTGATAACAGTTCCTATTAGATAGTGGGACTAGTAACTATGAAAAGACTAGCACATTCAATTAGGCCATGAATTTTCAATAGAGACGCCAGAAGATCGATGGATCAATATGTGATAAATGTAGAGAATGATAACTATAGCTCAGTATATGATGGATGTACAAAAGTAGCCCATCAAATGTCTCCATAAAATACATGAGAGGCTCGCATGCATGTTTGTATAGAAATTGTCATATGCTTCAAGAGAATGTAATTCTATTTAACAGAATAACTTCTCCATCCTATTTCAATATGATTCATTCTATAAACTCATATTATCAAGTCCAAAAACCTCATTTCATCTATGAACACAAGACTTAAATTTTGAATTGGGAACTAAACACCACTATAAAAATTATCAAGAGTAAATGGTCGCAAACTGAAGTTATAATCATGGTTGGTCGAATATCAAAACTAAGAACATGATCAACATTCCTATAAATAATCCTTTAGCATTCTCTTTCTAAAGTTATTAAAATATCAATCAGGTGAAGGATGTAGAGTACATTTCCAAAATAATTGAAGTTATAGAAGAGCTTGGAGAGAATCTAGTATTCCAAATTATTACTAACAAAACAATAGCTTATAAGGCAGTGAGAAATAAATTGATAGATAAAATAAAACATATTCATTGGACTTCATATGTCGCATTTTGTATTTGATTTTACACTTAAAATTTTTGAAAAGTTGACTTAACATTAGAATGCTTTGACCAAATGCAAAAAGATTAACAAATTCATTTACAATCACAGTTGAAGTTTAGTCTTAATGAATTAATACTCTAGAAAGCACTCGTTAGACCTGCAACTGCTAAATTTGCTAAGGCTTACTTAACTTTACAAATCATCTTAGAATGAGGCTATATTCACCTTTATGCTGTGATTAATTATGCTAGGGCTGAAAAGTTTTAAAAATAAGGAAAATTATTTTGACTAACAAATTTTAGTTAATTGTAACTATGCTATCACAACTACGATGATATGGGGAGATGGCTGCATCACATTAATAGTTATCATCAAAACCTTATTATCAACATGCTGAGGACAAGTCCATCAATTCACATATCAAATATAGTTTGTGCAGTTGTATACATAGAATGATTGTTAACTCACCAGAAAGGGAGCAAGCTAATCACAAACTTGTAGCATTTGCAAACAATTAAGGTTTATTTAAATTATAAACAGCTAATGACACTATAGTAGATAAGAGTTTTTTGATGGCATATGAGTTGCCCCCATGCGTTAAATTTTATATGTACAAATGTACTTCTAGCCATAACTTAGGATATCAAATTATAATTTAAGAAAAATTTGAATCCGAAACCACTGTCAAGATGTCAACATGAACCTTAGAATCATAAATCAAATAACTTTCCTCAATCATAACTTCACCTTTAAATGAATTTAGTGCATCTTTTTTAAGTCAAAAAATTCTTGCAAGCTCAAAATTCTCTAAAACTGCTAAAAGTTGGTTATAGAAGATTCGTATAACACTAGTTGTGCAAAAATTGAGTTAAAAATATTTGCATAAAAATATTAAAAGACAGGCACAAATCATGTCTTAGAACACCAAAAAGGACCTATCCGAGATCAATAATAAGCCCAGAAAATCATGGGTAAAAAAAGATAAAAACTATCTTAGAAAGGGTATAATTGTTAAAAGTGACCAAGTTTTGTTTTCTTGTTTTGAGTCTCTAGTCTTTCTAAAGAAAAAGATTAATTATCCTTATTGAATAAATTTGATCCCAATAAATATTATATTTTACGGCCTAGACTCCAAAAATTATCCTATAAGAAGCATGGCTTTGAGCGGTGCGAAGGTTCATTATAAGTTATTTGAGGCTCCTCGATTTTCCTACAAAGAAGCAATTCACAAATTTTGTTGCACAAATTCAAATAGAAATGTTAAAATTTTTTGTATTGTTTTAAAGCTTCCATTTATTTTGAAAGAAGATAAGCTTCCCTAAATTCAACATCCAACAAGTCTATGGTAAAAGTGGTTATGGTGATGCATAATTAGCAGCAAGTGTAAAGGAGGTTTTTCAAAAAAGTTAGTGGTTTGACCAAGAATAAGATTTTTTATAGTTTCAATTGACATGTTGTATCTATGTTTGGTGAATTTTTCTCTCAAACTTTTTGGTCAAATTTATTCACAATTGGTTATTACACAGTCGTAAGCTTCTCCAAAAAATTTTCAGCACAAAATTATATCATTTTGATTTTCAAAGGAACTTTAATTTTATAAATTTTCATAATCAGATTATGATGTTTATGGATTTGATGATTTTCTTGAAAATTTTCTAGAGGGCTTAGTTAGTAATTCTTATGTTACATTATCACTAACAATTAGAAAGATGATTCCTTCATATCTATATTCTCATATTCTCATAAGTCTCTGGGACTTTTAGTTCTTGAACATTCATAGATATTTTAATTCCATAATAAAAATCATGATGACAAGTCTTCTCCACTCGAGCAAAAGCCTTAAAGTGAAGATGTAAGCATGCACTAAATGAGATGCTAAGCTATTTCAAGCTTTTATTCATTATTTAATTAGAAAATAATCTGATGAAAGCATGAAGGAATAATGTTAGTCGACATTAATGTGTTTATTATCACCAATGATGTCATGGAGGTATCATAAAAAGTTATTTCGTAAGGATTTTGTAGCCTGTGACTTTTGGGTTAGAAAAATGCTTGCCTCTGCTGGATGATTTCTTTTTTAAGTTGATCTAATTATTGCATTAAGGATATTAAATGAATCTTCTCACCCTAATATGATTTGAACTAAGAGTCATGCCACAAGATCTCATTTAAGTTAAGGAATTTCTTAGTTGTAGTTCAACTAAGCTCTCCAAATAATTGGTTTCAGTTCTTAGAGGCTAACAAAGCTCTCCAAACTATTAGTTTGAGTGCTTAGTGGATATGGCCCATATGCTAAGAATGCGACAATTTTCCTGAGGAAAGAAAAGCTAAGAGAAATTCATTTGGCTGAACCTAGGTTGTCATCCGAGTGTTGACTTTTGGCGAAAAAATTTAAGAGAAATGCACTAAAACTTTTGACTTATCCTAGGTACTTCATAAAAGAGTTACTTTGTGACTAACTTGTGGAAGAGAAGTTCTAGAAAAATCTGCCAATGATTTTAACATATCCTAGGATGGTCATCATAATATTGCTCCATGGCCTTTAACTTGTGGTAAGAAAGATCAAGGTAAACTTGTCAATTTTTTTTATTTTTTTATTTTATACCGTTTGATAAATAATACTAAGGACTTTAATCGATTGTAAAAGATGTCAACAAGAATGTATATTATTTTTATCTATCCTAGGATGGTCATCATAGTCATGTTCGATGATTCAAATGTGAAAAAAAAAAAATTGATTGAATCAAATCCTCCTGTAATGAATTATACCACAATTGAGATACAAAAACTGCCACATGTTTCCTGAATCAAGTTTAAAAGTTAGGCTATCTCTAAAAAAGTATTGCTCGTTCAAGATTGTGGCTAGGACCTGGAATAAGTAGAAATATGACTAGGGAATTGCCTCTAGAGATGAGAATTTTGTGAATTTTTTTATGAAATTCCTCTTAAATCCCGAAAATCTCAGAAAATTATATTTTGGTCAAAAATTTCTTTCAGCTGCAATCATTTTTTAGA